CTACCGAGCCGCCTGTGCTGCCGATCCGCCGAGCCGCCTTTGCTGCCGAGCCGGATTTGCCGCCGAGGCGAAGAGCCGCGTTTTGCGGCCGAGCCGCACTGCAACCGAGGCGCCGCCGCCTGTCGGCCTGCTCGGGTCCGCCTCACTTACCTGGTAAAAGCATCGTCTCTGCCACTGCACTGCCCTGCCCCACTGTACTCAGTGCCTGTCTACTGCTGTCATGGCCTCCCCTAGTGTTCTCACCTTTGACGCTGAGGGTCAGGCAATTGACTTTGAGGTCGAGGTAGATGATCTGCAGCTTTTCCTATAGTGCGATAGGGCAGACGGTCTCTCCCTATTTGACCTCACTTCTGGTGCCTCTCCTGCCCCTGCTACTGATGGTGACGCTACTATTCGCTCATAGTGGGCCACGCGCGATGCTGCTGCTCGCCTTGCTGTGTGCGGCCACTTACCGACCACTGAGCGTGCACACTTTAGCCAGTACAAGAGTGCTCAGACCTTGTACGACGCTGTAGTTGCACGCTACTCTTCCCCTGCCACTGCTGCACTGAGCCGCCTCATGCTACCGTACCTCTTCCCTGACCTTGCTGCCTTTCCCACAGTCGCTAACCTCATTACGCACCTTCGCACTAGTGACACTCGCTACCGCGCTGCGCTTCCTACTGAGTTCTGCACCAAGAACCCCCCCCCCCCATGTACATCACCCTCTACTACATAAACACCCGGCTCCCTGACTCTCTCCGCGTAGTCAGGGACCACTTCCTCTCAGTTTTCCCCACCACTCTCACCATTGACCTCCTCAAGAAGGCCCTCCTAGCGATAGAGAAGAGCATAGTTGTTGTAGGAGCCTCTCGTGGTGACCCTTGCACCCCCGTCTTTGAGAGGTGTTCTCCCTCCCCCCTCTTGCCCTCTGTTGCCTCTGCTGCTGCGGCCGACCTCATTGGTTTCGAGTCGGTCGGCGCTGCATCTGCCCCGAGCCGGAGACGCCGCACCGGCAAGGGCAAGAGGGGCAAGGGTGCTGGAGGGGCTAGCGGGGGCGGTGGAGGTGGTGGTGGAGGAAGTGGAGGGAGTGGGGGTGGTGGTGGGAGTGGTGCCGGGGGTGGCAGCGGCGGCGGCAGCAGTGGAGGTGGAGGAGGCGGCGGAGGTGGCGGAGGGAGCGGAGGCGGCGGAGGTGGCGGAGGAGGCGGAGGTGGAGAAGGCGGCGGAGGCGGCGGTGGCGGCGGCGGTGGTGGTGGAGCCGGTCGCGACTCTGCGCAGAGGAGTGGCTCAGGTGGTGGTCCGCGCCAGCAGCAGCGGAGTGGCGTGACCCTGTCCCCTCAGCAGCTTCGTGAGTGGTACACTGCGCGTCAGCGCGGTGGGGGTTTTGGTCATGCAATTACGTCCTCCGTACCGGCGACTGAGCTGGTGAGCAGTGCAGTGGCCCGCACTCCACCCACCGTTGCTTCAGTCGCCTGACGGATGCGTGGCGTCGCCAGTTCCCTGAGGCGTCAGAGATCCCTCGCTAGGGAGATCTCTCTAGGGCGGGGGTTGCCATCTTTGATCTTGACTATGATGCTATCCTTGCTGCCATGTATTCTGTGACTACTAGTATTGAGGGTGACTGTTACCTGTGTGTACCGCCTGACCCGAGCATTGAGGCCGCTGCGCTAGGTGCTGGTGAGGCTGCTACTCTAGGTGCTAGTGCGTCTGCTACCCAAGGTGCTAGTGCGTCTGCTGCCCCGGGTGCTTTTGAGTCTGCTCTCTCAGGTACTTCTTCGGCTCAGGCCTCACACACCTTCACCCTTGACTCGGGTGCGTCCCGCACCCTGTCAGGTCTCTACCTCCCATCGTTCTCTATAAACTTGGTGAGTGGAGCGCACCTACAGGATAGGTGGGTTGACCAGTTCACTCCTGCGAGTCGCGAGTGACCCACTGCATGTGTGCCACGTTCACCCGTCGGCCAGGGTCGAGCCTGTACACCCTTACTACTGAGTCTCCTCCGGCTGCTGAATCTACCGAGGTAGTTGCGTCGAGTCAGGTGTTTGCTGTGGCGTCCAGGTCTTGTCCTGAGTCTGCTCCCTGCTCGTGTCGTCTCCTGTCCCACCAGACTCTCCTCTGGCACCACCGCCTTGGTCACCCCTCCCTGCCTTGTCTCCGAGGCATGGCCTTCCGTGTCCTTGTCTCTGGTCTCCCTCAATCTCTCCCTCCCCTACCTCCAGGGCCTGGCCCTACCTGCGTCCCCTGCATCGAGGGGCGACAGCGCGCCGCCCCTCACTCCTCCGAGTTTCCTCCGACAGAGGCTCCGCTACAGACCCTCCACATGGACGTGTGGGGCCCCGCCCGCGTCCGTGGACAGGGGCACGAGCGGTACTTCTTGTTGGTGGTTGACGACTACTCGCGTTACACCACGGTGTTCCCCTTGCGCAGCAAGGGTGACGTCACTGAGGTGTTGATCGATTGGATCCGCGCAGCTCGTCTCCAGCTCAGAGAGAGTTTCGGCTCGGACTTTCCTGTTCTGCGTCTGCACTCGGACAGAGGCGAGGAGTTTTCCTCTGCGCGTCTGGGAGCCTTCTGTTGTGCACAGGGCATCTGCCAGACCTTCAAGCTTCCGGCCTCTCCACAACAAAATGGGATTGCTGAGCGCCGCATTGGCATGGTCATGGATGTCGCTCGTACGTCCATGATGCATGCGGCTGCCCCCCATTTTCTGTGGCCGTTTGCGGTTCAGTACGCCGCGCATCAGCTCAACCTTCAGCCCTGGGTCTCCTTGCCAAAGACCTCCCCCACCTTGCGGTGGACGGGGAAGGTTGGCGATGCGTCTGCGTTTCGGGTCTGGGGATCTCGGGCGTTTGTCCGCGACTTGTCTGCGGACAAGCTGTCACCCCGTGTTGTTCCCTGCGTCTTCCTTGGCTTCCCCCCTCACGCGCCTGGGTGGCAGTTTTACCACCCCACCTCGCGTCGTGTTCTGTCCTCCCAGGACGTCACCTTTGACGAGTCGGTGCCTTACTAGCGTCTCTTCCCCTACTGCACTGCGCTCCTCCCCCCGCCTTCGCTCTTCCTTGCACCAGGTCCTCCCCCGGTAGACCCCATCCCCCCTCAGGGTCCTGCCCCGTCAAGTGTGTCCCAGGTAGACGCAGTCGAGCCTGTCGAGGTAGCTGTTGACTCTGGTGCTGCTAGAGGTGCTGAGCCTGGGGGTGCAGAGTCTAGGGGTGCTGAGACTCGGGGTGATGAGTCTGGGGGTGCTAATTTTGGGGGTGCTGGGTCGGGGGTGTGGAGCTTGGGGGTGCGGAGCCTGGAGGTGCGGAGCTTGGGGGTGCTGAGACTGGGGGCGCTGGGTCTGCTCGTGTGGCCGCCGGCGGTGCTTCGTCGAGGCGGGAGCCACTCTCTCCACAGGAGCTGCGCGAGTGGTTTGCCCGCCGCTAGAGACGTGCTGCTGAGACTGGGGGTGCTGCTGAGACTGGAGGCGCTGCGCGGTCGAGGCCGTACTTCGTTCCGCTCCTGGAGTAGGTTCTTGGTCTCTCGGCCTCTCCCGGTCCTGCTCCCTCCTTAGAGTGTCCACAACTTGTCCAATCGCAGTCACAGTTATAGCCCGCCTCCCCTTTACCTGCTCCTTCTCCCTACACTGGTCCTACTGGAGGTCTCGCTGAGCGTCGTGCGCCTGCGTCTCGTCGTGCGTCGCCAATTCGTGCTGCTCGCTCTAGTGGTCATCCTGTGTGTCGGCGTCCTCCTATGGTCCCCGGCACACACCAGATGGCGCTGCGTCCTTCCACTGCTCCTCTGCGTGTCCCGTTGCCATCTCCTCCAGAGTCCTCTCCTCCTACTCTTGCTGATTCGGAGTTTGACTCTCTTCGTGCTCCTAGTCCTTCCGTCACGTGTCTCCTTGCTACTGTTGTCACTGACCCTTCCTTTGAGTCCACTGCTGCGTCTGCCCTAGTTGCTGAGCTTGTCGACTTCGCTGATCGCTGACGTCTAGACTACGCTGCCATTCTCGTTGCTGAGTCTGAGTCAGTCTGTCCTCCGTCCGTTGGGGGTGAGTGTGCTCTTAGCACGGACGTCCTTGAGGACAAGCAGGAGGAGTTCCAGTGCTTTGCTGCTGCTTTGCCCCATCTCCTGTCCACGCTGATTGCCCATGAGGGAGACCCGGATGCACCAGACATCCCGACTCCTCGATCGTACGTTGAGGCGATCGAGGGTCCCTAAGGGTTACAGGGTTACACCTTCAGCCTAGGCTGATCGTGACGACCAGGCTCTGCAGCAGTTGTCACAGGGTTACACCTTCAGCCTTGGCTCCGGCTCTGTTTCGTGGCGGTCTACCCGCTCATCTTCTGTTCTCAGCTCTAGCTGTGAGGCTGAGATCTACGGAGGGGCCATGGCTACACAGGAGCTACGCTGGCTCACCTACCTGCTGACTGACCTAGGAGAGCCGCCTCGTTCTCCTCTAGTTCTGTACGTAGACAACAAGGCCATGCTGGCCTTGTGTCGGGAGCACAGACTTGAGCACAAAACGAAGCACATTGCTCTCCGCTACTTCCTGGCTTGTGAGTTACAGTAGCGTGGTCAGCTCCGCCTCACCTATGTGGCCTCTGAGGCCAACACTGCTGATATCTTCACCAAGGCCCTTCCGCCTTGTGATCATCAGCGCTTTTGTAGTTTGCTAGGTCTTGTGCCTACTTGGCCTCACTTGCTTACTTCTTTATCTTGTTTGTACTGTACTCTTTCTATACCTGCACTTGCTTGTTTACCTTTATATATATGTGATCTTGTATCTGAACTGGCCTTGTGGCCTTGCTCTTGTGCTCGGATTGTGTGGTGACTTTGTGATCCACCATGAGCTTGCTTTGCTTGACTGGTCTTGTGACCACTTGTTCTCCCCCACTTTTTCTATGGGGGTGTGTCACAACATTATAGCTTATACATCTGCGTAGGCTGTAGTGGGGTAGCCCATAAGGGGTACAACTGAATTAGAGTTAGTACTTGTACCCAACTGTTTCATGGTTCAATCATTTCTCTCGTTCTAAGTTTCACAAGAAGCTAGCAAGGACAGGACCCCCAGAGAGGTTCGCCAGGGAGACCGCAACCGGCCGACTAAGCGGCGTAAGCGTGGTGCGGTGTCGAAAAAAGGAGCGGGAAGCACCCGAGTCAAGGGTGGAGGTGTGTAAGGCCTGAGCCAACGTGGTACCTGAGAGGGCAGACTCACCAGCACCTAGGGCAGCAGACGCACTAGCACCTAGAGCAGCAGCCTCACCAGCACCTAGAGCAGCAGCCTCAATGCCCGGGTCAGGCAGAACACACAGGTAACAGTCACCCTCATCACTAGTAGACACAGCAAACATGGCAGCAAGAATAGCATCATAATCAAGGTCAAAGATAGCAACCCCCGCCCTAGACAGCTCTCCCCGGCGAGGGATCTCAGTGGCGTCAGGGAACTGGAGACGCCAGGCGTCTGTCAGGCGGCCGAAAAATCGCTGGGTGGAGTGCGGGCCCCCGCACGGCTCACCAGCGTGGTCGCCGGAATGGAGGACGTAGTTGCAGGGACAAGTACCCCCACCTCGCTGACGCCCAGCGTACCACTCACGAAGCATCCTGAGGGGACTGGGTCTCACGAGCGCACTTGTGCTGCTGGCGCGGATCACCACCTGAACCACTCCTTTGCGCAGAGCCGCGACCAGCTCCACCGCTGCCGCCGCCGCCTCCGCCACCTCCGCCGCCGCGGCCACCTCCGCCGCCTCCGCTCCCTCCGCCACCGCCGCCGCCTCCTCCGCCTCCACTGCTGCCACAAACACCTCCACCCCCGCCACCACTCCCACTACCACCCCCAACCCCACCATTGCCTCCACCACCACCTCCACCGCCCCCGCCAGCCCCTCCAGTGCCCTTGCCCCCCTTGCCCTTGCCGGTGCGGCGTCTCCTGCTAGGGGCAGATGCAGCGCCGACCGACTCGGTGCCAACGAGGTCGGTCGCAGCAGCAGAAGCAACAGAGGGCAAGAGGGGGGAGGGAGAACACCCCTCAAAGACGGGCGTGCGAGGGTCACCACGAGAGGCTCCTACAGCGACTATGCTCTTCTCTGCTGCTAGGAGGTGCTCCTCGAGGAGGTCAACGGTGAGTGTGGTGGGGAAAACTGAGAGGAAGTGGTCCCTGACTAAGCGAAGGGAGTCAGGGAGCCGGGTGACTATGTAGTAGAGGGTGATACACATGGGGGGAGGGTTCTTGGCACAGATTTCAGCAGGAAGCGCAGCGCGGTAGCGAGTGTCACTAGTGCAAAGGTGCGTAATGAGGTCAACTACTGTGGGAAAGGCAGCAATGTCAGGGAACAGGTACAGCAGCATGAGGCGGCTAAGAGCAGCAGTGGCAGGGGAAGAGTAGCGTGCAACTACAGCGTCGTACAAGGTCCTAGCACTCTTGTACCAACTAAAGTGTGCACGCTCAGTGGTCGGTTAGTGGCGACGCACAGCAAGACGGGCAGCAGCATCGCGTGTGGCCAACTGTGAGCGAACAGTGCTGTCAGCAATAGTCGGCGGGGCAGGAGAGGTACGAGAGGTGAGATCGAACAGAGAGAGTCCGTCTGCTCTATCGCACTGTAGGAACAGCTGGAGGTCATCGACCCAGACCTCAAAGTCAACAGCACGACCCTCATCATCAAAGGTAAGGACACTGGGGGTAGCCATGACAGCAGTGGTCTAGCAGGGAGTGATCTCACCAGTCCGAGTAAGTAGGGCCGGGGCGCGCCGGTAGGAACAGCATCAGCTCGACGGCAGGGCGGCTAGGCGGCTCGGCTGCTGGGCGGCTCGGCGGCTTGGTTGCTAGGCGGCTCGGCGGCTCGGCTGTTGGGCGGCTCAGAGGTGAAGGGGCCGGTAGAGGCGGCGACGGGGCCGGTAGAGGCGGCAATGGGGCCGCGAAGGGCGCCGACGGGGCTGGTAGAGGCGGCGACGGGGCTGCGAAGGGCAGCGACGGGGCCACTAGAGGCGGCGACGGTGCCGCGAAGAGCGGCGACGGGGCCGCTAGGGGCGGCGACGGGGCCGTGAAGGGCGGCGACGTGGCCGCGAGGGGCGGCGACGGGGCCGATAGGGGCGGCGACGGGGCCGTTAGGAGCGGCGACAGGGCCGTGAAGGGGCCGCAACGGGCCTAGAGGGCCGATGACGGGGCCGCGAAGGGGCCGCGAGGGGCCTAGATGGGCGGCAACGGGGCCTAGAGGGGCGGCGACGGGGCCGCGAAGGGGCCGTGAGGGGCCGCGACGTGGCTGCAAATGACGGCGACGGGGCCGTAAGGGGTGGCGACGGGGCCGCTAAGGGTGGCGCGTGTTGGGCTGAGTGCCCCTTAGGATCTTTAGTAGGGTTGAAGTCTGAGTAAAGTGATGTTGTAGCGGAAGCGTTTAAGTGAAGTCGTTGAACCACCTTGCGCTGGTATGTGAGGGCAAAGTAAGTTGTTTAAAGCAAAGAGATACAAGATTATATATATGAATACAGAGAATATGAAGAGACATAGTCATAACTACTTTACTGTTGCTGTTGCGGTTCGATACAGTGCGAGTCGGGCAACTGCTCAATATCGAGTCAGTTGTGTGTCCTTGCTGTCGCGCTGCATTTGTCAAGTCAAAGGTCGCTGACCTTTGACTTTCGCGTAACCTTCAGCGGTTACATCAACCTCCGAGGGTTGACTCGCTGGTGCCTCGATATGCTCTGCTTCGCTTGTGCCTTGGTGTTTCGACACGACAGAGGCGCTTAATGTTGAGTGATGCTACCATTCGCATTCACGTCTGTCTGCCTCCCATCATATGTTCGTGCGTTGCATGCGTGTTGTGAGTGTGTGCAAGAATTTGTGTTTTGTGCGGTTTGGATTTTCTGAGTGTGTGTGAATGTTATTTGGCTTGAGCAGATATCTGAAGTGACTCCACTGCTCAAGAGCTTTCCGACGAACCAAGAATCACTTCAATCGGAGCACGAACAAGAAAGTTACGAACGTTGGAGTTCGTATGCTTTTGATATTTGGTTGTGGTGACCATGGAGAGTTGTGGGGTTGACTCAATATGGGGTACAGACTTTTGGGGGTTGGGAAATTCGTCACTACTACTGTAGTTGCTGCCAATTGGTTGGGAGAAACCAAACCAGGTTTGCAAGTGTGGCCAAGTTGGGTTGAGGTGGATTGTGGAGGTTGGGATAGTGACAAAGCTCAAAGTTGGGTTGCCTATGGGGAAGGGAATTGTGTGGCATGGAGTTTTCTTTGGTTGGGGACTCCTTGGGACCTTCCCTCTCGTCCTCCTTTTTCCTCCTACCTGGTTTAGTGCTACTCTAACTCTCTTGTGTGCAACTCTTGTGAACTTGTGAAACTATTGTGAGTGAATTTAATTTCTATGTGGCAGCATACCCCCTGGTGCGCCGAGAAGCATAACTCGAGATTTACTCCACCTTTTGATACAATTCAAATTGGGAATGATAGCCACGGACAAGGGCTATAACATAATCTAGATTGAAACGATTCTAACGGTGCACGTTTTGTCGACAACGTTTCTTGTGAAGTCGCGGTTTCTGTCCAGAATTTCAAGCCAACGATTTTGAGAAATTTAGGCTCCTAATCATCACAGACTCGATCCTTAGTCTCTAACAAGTGGTATCAGAGCTGATTAAGGACTTTGTGGAGAGTCTACTGAAGTGTGAAGACCCTCCTAGACCCACCATAGCCTGTGGGCGTGCCTAAGTGGAGTTCTGGAGGTTGAATGTGACTTCCGCTAAGGGGAAACTCTGCCGAAATTTCGTTGGCGCTGACAGTTGTGAAGATTGTGTGGATCTACATATTGACCAGCAAAAGGGGGAGCTGAAACCTGTGATTGGGAGAAGAGGAGATGAGTCAAGGGAGTGGAGAAGCAGCTGAGAAGAAGAGTGAGCCACCACCATCCAAGATTGAGGCATTGGATGGCTCCAACTATGAGGAATGGAGTGGGCGGATGAGGAGTGCCTTCAAGCACTACAAGCTGCTAAAATTGGCTATGGGAGAAGAGAAGATGCCGGAGGAAGGAGATGCCCGCGATCGGTGGATTGAGCGGAGCGCGGTGCTGTACGACTTGATTCTACAGTCGGTCAACAACGACATGTTCCAGCATATCAAGGATTTGGTGGAGCTCGATGACTCGGGACCGAAGGCGTGGAAGCTGCTACGCGACGTGGTTCAACCCAACACGCTGCCGATGGTGATCGTATTGGAGAAGGAGTTGGCTGCCCTCTCCATGCGGCCGGGAGATGATGTGAAGCCGGTCCTTGACAAGATCAAGGACACCTATGCGAGGATGGCAGCGGCGGGCAGCGAAGTGTCGCAGATGCAACAGTGCACCAAGATCATCTCGGTGCTCGACAACTCGTGGGACAACCTCATCCCCACCCTCAACGTTCAGCAGGACAAATGGACGCCTGAGTGGCTACGGCAGCAGATCCTGCAGGAGGACTTCCGCAGGCGCCACACTGGAGGTGGTGCTGCCAACAAAACTGCTGAGGGGTATGGAGCTGCAGGAGGCAGCAGAGGGAGAGGGGGAGGGAGAGGCCGAGGCCGTGGGAGAGGCTTTGGCAGAGGGAGAGGCCGAGGTGACTACAATGAGGGGCATGGGAGCTCTGGTGGAAGGGGGAGTACCCGAATGGAGGGTGCGTGCTGGTACTGCAAGAAGGCTGGACACCCATGGTTCAAGTGTTTCAGCCGGCCTGAGGGATGGGCCCCTCCAGGCATGAAGCCGCCAAGTGGTGAACGTGCACGCGGTGGCGCTGTGCAAGGATCAGGTGCACAAGGTGATGGTGCACAAGGTAAAGCCGACCCTGGGATGTTCCTCATGGTTGAGGATGTGCAAGGGAGTGGGGGTGATGTGGGTTCAGTTGGGAAGGTTGTGATGCACCCCCTCACTCACTGGATGATCGATTCAGGTTGCACGAGTCATATGACCCCACGGGCAGATTTGCTTGATGAGGTAAAACCTCCTGGGAAGATCAAGTTTGTGGCTGCCGCTTCAGGTGCTTTGCTCCCTGTGATTGGTGTTGGGAATGCTAAGGTGATGGGAGCCAATGGAGAGCTTGTGGGGCTTGGGAATGTGCTGTTGGTTGAAGGTTTATCCGCTAACCTTCTTTCTGTGCGCCGGCTGCAGAAGAGCAAGGCTGAAGTTACCTTCGGCCCAACCAGCTGCCGTGCAAAGCTTGGGAAGTTGCTGCTGTGGAATTTGGAGGAGAAGAGCAGCTGCATCAAGGACTTGTGGCAGCTGCCCATCATCCCTTGGAAGGGGAAACCACCAGCAACGGCAAAGGCAGCGGCAGCGGCTAAAGCAACTGCGGGAGGAGAGGAGACTGCACCAACTGATGGGGCCCTGGATGCAGTCAAGAAGGTGCAGCAGCCACAACAGCCACATGGTGAGGTGCTTGCTGGTGTGGATGCGACAGCTGCATGGGCAAAGGCTTCATCTGGGAGTGGTGAGGCTGATTGGGAGACGTGGCATGAGAGGCTGTGCCATGTGAACATTCCTATGCTGCAGAAGTTGGTAAAGGATGGGTGCTTGAAGGGGCTGGAGGTGAAGGGGGGAGCAAAGGAGATTGGGAGCTGCCCTACCTGCCTTGAGACCAAATTCACGAAGTTTCCCTTCAGCAGCAGCACAGGACCAGCAAAGGCACCACTTGCACTAGTGCACATGGATGTGGTGGGCCCCACGAGGGCCCTTTCTCTCTCGGGCAGCCGCTACTTCTTGACAATTGTGGACGACCACACGCGTGCGGTGTGGGTGTACCCTCTCAAGACTAAGGGGGAGGTGGCAGCGGCTGTTCTTAAGGAGTGGATGCTGAGAGCACAAAGGGAGAGCGGACACAAGGTGAAGGTGATCCGCACTGACAACGGAGGAGAGTTCATCGGCGCTGATTTTGAGAAGGAGCTGAAGCGGAAGGGGATACAGCATCAGCTCATAGTGCCTTACAACCCTCAGCAGAATGGCGTGGCTGAGCGGTTCAACCGGACCCTGCAGGAAGGTGCTCGCACTCTCCTTGGGCGTGCAGGGCTGCCGGATCCGTTTTGGGTGACAGCACTGCGGTAGGTCGTTGTTGTGAAGAACCGGGTGCTGGCGACTGTGGGGGACAAGCAATGGGTCCCCTACACCAAGTGGTATGGGAGTGTGCCTGCAGTCAACATGCTGAGAACTTATGGCTGTATGGTGGTGTTTCATGTGCCTAAGGAGAAGAGGGGAAAACTGGAAGCTTCTGGGAGATGGGGTGTGCACTTGGGGCTTGCAAAGGATCACAAGGGCTGGCTGATTTGGGACTTGACCAGCCAGCAGCTGACTGTGTCGAGGGATGTGAAGTTCCTTGAGTCCTTGTACTACAAGGAGTGGAAGCAGCAGCAGCAGAAGCTTCCCACTACACCGCTGATCATTGAGGCTGATGAGGTGCAGCGGCCTTCGAGGCAAGTGCAGGTCACTGTCTCAGAGGAGGAGATTTCTGGGGTGACTGAGGATGGGGGAGAACCTGAGGTAGAGGAGCAGCAGCAGCAGCCGCAGCAGCAGCAGCAGCAACCACAGCAGCAGCAGCAAGGTGCTCCACAAGGTGCCGCGCGTCCGGCTGACCGTCCCCGGAGGGAAGTGCGCCCTCCTAACCGGCTGACCTATCCGAGCTTTGGCAAGCCATAGGTGGTACGGGCTGGGAGTGTGGCTGAGCAG